CTAAGTGCCTAGAAAGACACACAGAATTTACTAAAAGATATTTATTACAGGGAAAGGATACAAATTAGAACAAGTCAAAGGAAGAGATACATAGTATGGAAACTGGAAGGGGTCCAAATGCAAAACTTCTGGTTGTCCTCTCCCAATGGAGTCATGGATGGTGTTAACTCTTTCTGGTCACAGTGCATGACAATATTCACAGAGTATTGCCAACCAGAGAGGCTCACTCACACATTTGACATCCAGAGTTTTCATTGGTGCTCAATCGCATACTGCCTCCTTGGCTGACCATTAATCTCCAGTCCCTCCCCTAGAGGTTCAGGATAATACCTTTAGTCTCCAGTTCCTCCAGAAGCTGGAACTGATATGGAGTTCCCCAAAGCCCAACATTGTTAGATTGTTTGTTGGTCAAAACCCCCATGCAAACAAAGACAGTCCTATCAGGCAAGACGTTCCAGGGGCTTAGAGAACACCTCCAAGTAGCTGAAGGCAAAGGCTAGACCTCTTGTTAGATAAGGTTAGTTCTTCACTACTCCCCAGCCCCTGCAATAAATATTTCTCATAAGGATTCTCTCCCCCAAGTTTGATATATGCACTAGGGGCTTAAAAAATTACTAGTGTCACAACAGTGTGATTTCTTATCCCAAATATCTTTTTTGTGTGTGGCTTCCAGATGACTTCTGGGATAAACTCTTAAGTTCTTTGGGAAGGTCTCCGAGGCACTTCCTGGAGGGTCCTGCTCACCTCTTCAGGTGCACCCTCAGTTGGTGTCTCTCCATCAGGTCACCATTTCTTTGGTACGCCTGCCACTCCGATCATTCCTCATATATAAAAGTTATTTGGATGTGCCATGTTCTTCACGCCATTGTACACACTGTTTCCTTTGCTTGGAGTGCTCTCCCTTACTTTGTCATCTGGCCCACTTTGGTTTATTCTTCAAGACCCAGCTCAGTTATAACTTCCTCTGGGAAGCATTCCTGAAACAACCTGTCTTACTTTCCTAGCGTTGTGATAACAAAATACCACAAAGTGAGTGGCTTATAAGAACAGAAGTTTATTTTCTCATGGTTCTGGAGGCTAGAAGTCCAAATTCAGGGCCTTGGCAGGGCTTTTCTCTGTCTCTGTCAGCTCTAGGGGAAGATCTTTTCTTGTCCTCTTTGAGCTTTTGGCGGCTCTGGGCATTTCTTGGTGTTCTCTTGGTTTGTAGATAGATCCTCACATGCTATCTTCCCTCTCTGTGTGACCCTTTCCAGATCTGGCCTTCTCTTTTATAAGAAACCACTCTGAAGAGATTAGGATTAGAACCCACTCTACTTCCATTTGACTTCCTTAACTGATAACATGTGCAAACAAAAACCTTCTATTTCCCCAAATACGGAGAAAGAGGTACAAGAGTTAGGACTTCAACCCGTCTTTTTGGAGGACACAATTCAGTCCATAACACAAACCTCTCCCTTGGTGTGAGTGAGGTGCTGCAGGTCTGTGCTCCTATAGACTTAGGTGTCCTTCTGTCTCAACACCTTAGCATGGTGTGTTTGTGATTTTTCTTTGTCTGTGTCTATAACGGTCATGGGCCGTGGAGGCCAGGGCCTCTGTTGTCTTCATCTTCATCTCACCAGTACCTGACAAATGTTCATCTACACATAAGAAAGGATAGCATTCATTGTTTTGCTATGGATACTGGTGAAGCTGCAACCAGAAATGAAGGGGAAATCATTTGCATATACTCGAGAAAAATATTTCTAGTTATTTTGTGAGTTGCTTTACATTTATATTCTAAAGTGAATGTTATTTTAATGAAATGACTTCTTTGTTCCTTTTCTAAACTGTTTGGGGAGATCTTGGCAGTTATTCACTTGGGATAAAGATTGAAGTCCTACAAAATAAACAAACAGAGGACAATTAGGGATTTTAAAGTGTGCCTACCCACAAAGATTATTTTCTTTCTCTCCATGCACATTTGGTAAGAATGGTTCTCTGGGACTGTGTAATTATGGATGAATGATGCTGAAATGCTTGAACAATAATTTGTAGGAGATACAATTATGAGTAGAAGTCATTAGCGGGAGTAAATGAACAGTTTGTTCGTTAACAGGTCAACTTTGAAGCCTAGAGTGGTTAAACATTGTGCTAAATTACAAGTTAACAGCATAACCCTTTTTAATTTGAGCATATTCATAAATTATTGAGCTTTTCAAACTGCATTTTTATAAGTTTTTTGATTTGTGGTACACAAAGGAACGGAGCCGCCCAACCTGGGTTTCTTAAGAGTTCTATGCAGTGAGATGACTCACTCACGTTTGAAATGTGTGCAGTGCTTTCTTCATTAGAGAGTTTGGTAGGTCTACCTTGTGTGGCATTTAAATAACATTTGCAAAGTAAAGAACATAATTTTTTGAGTATCAAAGCTAATTGGGTACAGTTAATTTACAGTTATTTCCAGAGGGCAGGAATTCAATTACTTGTCTAGTTCTCTGGTCCTGGATTCAGAAGACCTGATTTCAGAACTTGGCACTGGCATCTCATAACTGTGTAATCTTGTCTTTGAAGAATCTTAGTTTCCTGATCTGACACTCTGTTTAAAAAAAAAAAAAAAATTCTTACCTTAGTGTAAAGCTACCTAGCATCCGTTGGGTTTATTCTAAGTATTCTAAGTTCTCAGTAAATGTATGTGTTTTTTTTTCTTCTGCTGTTTACATATTGTATATTATTTATTATGACACAGTGGCTGCAACAATGGGCTCAAGTATAACAACGATTGTGAAGATGGTGCAGGACTGGGGTTCTGTTGTACGTGGGGTCACTCTGAGTTGGAACCGACTCAACGGCACCTAACAACAACAACAACATTATTTATTTACTTGGGTATCTGATGGGGGCTTGAAAGTGATTTTCCAGAAGGCAATGTTCAAAATAATTAATTTATATCTCAAGGAGTTGAATGCTAATCATGTGCCCAGGATTGTGTTAGGAATTGTGACATATATAAAGGAAATATAAGGCAGTGACCCCGCTTTTAAGTCGCTAACTGTTGTGGTGGGAAGATAAGATATATACACTGTAATAACTACAGAATAATTTGTACTGAAATATATGATACTGCCTATAGGTTAGGTAACTCTCGTTTCCCCAGGACACCCTGAGCCTCCTCAGGCTGTGAATATTTCTGCATGGTGACACTATGTGTTACAGAGTAGAAATGAGCTCCGTAGCGTTTTCTTGGCTGTAATCATTACTGAAGCAGAACATCAAACCTTTCTTTCGTGGCACTGCAGAATGGGTTCAGATTGCCAATCTTTCGATTAGTAGTTGAGCACAAACTGTTTGTGCCACCCAGGAACATTAAGAGGACATTGATTTATGTTAAGTGTTAAAAAAGAGCGTCAAAAATTCTCTGTGATTTTGTTCATTCATTCTCACTTGCCTATCATTTATTAAGAATAATTAGTTGAGAAATATATTTATTGCTTCTGCTATGTGTAGCTTGCATACTGGCAGTTACATAGGAGGTGTTTATTGCATATTGATTGAGTATTATGATCAATTGTTCACAAAGTTTGATAGCATTTTGTCTTTGACAAACATTTTCCTATGCTTGTTAGTTTTTCTGTGCAGACATTCAAGAATAGATCACTGCAATTCACATATATATGCCATACATATAAATAAACTTTATTTCATTTTATTGTTCCCAAAGGTTAAAACATACAAACACGGAATAAAATTAAAATTATTTTCTTTTGGGATGATTTATATCTTAATTTTCACCTGCCCTGTAATTAGAAATTTTGAACTCTGTAAATTTTTTTAAGATAAAATTATTGCCCAAGTAAACTTCAGAAATTTTATCATTAACCCAAAGACCTTTCTAAGCCTAGAACAATGTGGTTGGTACAAGTGCCTGCACACACACAAATAAATAAAGAGGAAAGTTTAAAATAATTTGAAAATGATTTATCGTCGGCCACCTCTGTAGTTAGAGATTCAAGTCTTATTACTTTACTTTAGTGTAACAAGGGAGGACAGTAACTTGCTGTGGGCTAAGGGTAAATAATGGTCTATTGCAAAGGAGGAAGGAAATGTACTAAGGAAAGAGGAAGGAGTTGGGAGTAAGCTGTGTTTTCTGAGGTATTGCTTTAGATAATAGTTTGAAAAAACACTTGGCTTTGACTCTTGCTAGAAAAGGCCAGAGTAAACTGTGAGACAGACTATCTTCTTTAATCTTTGATAGTTAAGGACTAGCGTGCTTGTGTGGGAGGAACAGATGGGTGCACTTGAGCCTAATATAAACCAAGATATGTAGAGTCCTAAGTTCTGCCTTCTTCAACTTTGCTTCACAGTCCTGTCCTGGATATACCAAGTTTGAGAGTTGGAAGGGATCATTTAATACACTAAGATTTAGGCCAGCCATTTTAAGGTGATTTTGGTTTTCTACTCTATTGATACTTTGTGAAGTAAGTTGAAGTCTTCAGATTGGAAGTTAGTTATGGAGTTCTACATCAGAGTCAAATAACCATTTGTTTTTATTTCAAGTAAGAAAAAGATGTAAAAAATCATCCTCAAGACAAGTGATGTGGGGAAGGAATGGAAAAGACTAAAATACATTGAAGGTCTATTATGCAGCAATGTCCAAGCTAGATATTTCATAGATTTTATTTCATTCAATCTCTCACACCCCTATGAGGTAAGAGATTGCTACTTTTGCTTTGTAACTGAGGAAGCTGAAGCCCACCCTGAAGTACATTACTTAAGGTTGCATGGTTAGAATATGGTAAAACTGGGATTTTTACATTCTACCACTCTCTACCCTGGATTATTTTTATTGTCACCATGTTATAAATGAGAAAACTAGCATTCAAAAAAGTGGAGGCATTGGTGCTTACTAATCCTGAAGCTTGCTTTCCTAGCTTCTTCTTTCACAGGACTCTTTGACTGAATAATGTTATACTCTTATTAATCATTAAAATGTCTAAAGGCAAGTTTTCCTTGGACTACTTTAGGTTCACTACCAGAAGTAATTGTCACCCATCTTCGAGCAGCTGCCCATGCCCGTGACACAGTGCTGGCTCTGGAAGATGCTGTGGACTGGCGCCCTGGGGATGAAGTTGTCATCATCAGTGGAATAGGTGCCGAAGGTGCCAGACCAGTGGAAGAGATTGTCATTGTGGAAACTGTGCATAATGCAGACCTCCACCTTCGGTCACCCTTGAGGTAATGAGCTGTCAGCTTGGCTAAATATTGGTGGAAGAAGATGAAACCATAAATATGTTAAGAGTCTGGATATTTACTGGTCTTTCAAGATACATTTTTACATTAAATAATGTTAGACTTTTTAAAATTATGGTAAATATATACGTAATTCGACAATCTACACATGTACAGTTCAACGACATTAATTATGTTCATCATGTTATTCAACCATCACCATTGACTGTTCCCAAGTTTTTCCATCACCCTTAACAGAAGCTCAGTGTCCCTTAAGCATTGTGTCTTCCTTCCCCCCTCACTCCGGCCCACCCCTGGTAACCACTAATACACTTGACCAGTGTATACTTGCCTATTCTAGGTATTTTACACTTAAGTGAAATCATACAATATTTGCTTTTTTATGACTGAGTTATTTCACTCAATATTTCCGCTGTTGTAGTGGGTATCAAGATTTCATTTATTTTTATTAGTAACATTCCATTGTATATATGTACTACATTTTGTTTATCCATTTATCTGATAGAAACTTGGGTTGTTTCTACCTTTTGGCTATTGTGAATAGTGCTGCAATGGGCATTTGTAGATATTTCACAGATTTTATCTCATTTAATCTCTTCTACCTCTATCAGAGATTGCTAGTTTTGCTTTGTAACTGAGGAAGCTGAAGCCTAGTGCACAAGTATCTGTTTGCATTCTTGCTTTTAATTGTTTTTGTAGCTGTCTTAGTCATCTAGTGCTTATACCGCAAGTGGATAGCTTTAACAAACAGAAGTTTATTCTCTCACAGTCTAGTAGGCTAGAAGTCTGAATTCAGAGCACCAGCTTCAGGGAAAGGCTTTTTCTGTCTGTCGGCTCTGGAGGAAGTTCCTTCTCATCCATCTTACCTTGGTCTAGGAGTTTCTCTGCTCAAGAACCCTGGGTCCAAAGGATGCATTCTGCTCCTGCACTACTACTTTCTTAGTGGTATGAAGCCCCCCCCGTCTCTCTGCTCACTTCTTTCTTTTATATCTCAGAAGAGATTGGCTCAAGACACAATCCAACCTTGTAGATTTTGTCCTGCCTCATTAACATAACTGCCACTTATCCCATATCATCAACATCATGGAGATAAGATTCACAACACATAGGAAAATCACATCAGATGACAGAATGGTGGACAGTCACACAATACTGGGGAATCATGGCCCAACCAAACTGACAGATATTTTTGGGGGACACAATTCAATCCATGACAGTAGCTCTGGACACTTTGATAAGAAATTCATAAAGCATGAAACATTTTTAAGATATGGACTTCTTAAATAAGTTTCTCTTGTAAGACCTTAGACCTTCTTCCCTCTTCTAACACGTGGTCAGCATAATAATCAGCACAGTTCCTGATTTTCATGTACATATACTCATTGTTTACTCTTCTGTATTTGAGTTTCAAAAGATAAAGTCCCTCAAACAACAATTGTACTAATCTAATGCCTTACTATTCCTAATGAGGTTAAAAGTGTGATGTTTTCAGATAAGTCTTTCTCCTTTTCTGTTTTTCAGATATTCTTATGACTTCACAGAGAATTGGGTGGCTGGAGAGCACCTTGTTTTCAAGGCCACAGTGGCCTTGCTCAGCAGGAGTATTACCATTCAAGGAAATCTCACTGACGAGAGGATGAGGCACCTTGCTTCATGCCAGGGGACCAGTGTTTCAGAAGGTAGAGAAGTATTTTATTGGGAAATCCAATGAGTGAACAAGAATGTTCTCATTGACAGATGATACATGACATTGCTATGCTTGAACTTCTTCAAAACCAAGTAAACCCTTAAGTTTTTCACATCCATAATAGTCTATAGTTTTCAGAATGCTCTTGATAAGTAAGTTTTCATTTCATTTTCTCCCAACCCCCCCAGCATTTTGAAATACATAGACAAAAGAATCCAGTTTGGAAAGCAATTACTTCTCTGGGGGGAAATTTCCCCTTAAAGTATTAAATTTGAAGACTTTCAAGAAAAATTTGATTTTCTTTTGAATTAAACTTCCTGGATATAATGAAGTCTTAACTCTGTTGTGAGGTCCTTCTATTCTTCTCAAGAAAACTGTAATACCAGAGTATGGGCTCAGCAGCACATTCTTACTGATAAGACTTGTAGGACAGTCTTACTTCCTCTTTTTTCTTTCTTTCTTTTTGTTCCCCTAGTTTGTTTTCTGAGCAAACTACCACATACTTTAGGTAAGTGGTCAAAAAAGTCAATTTGTCTTCTAGTAGAATAATAGGCACTCCCACATTGACATGCCTATTAAACATCTATTTCAGGGATGGTTAGTGTAGTAGGTTATGTTTTGGTTTGCCAGCCTTTAGATTATGAAGCTTTCACATGTTGTGAAGACATCATTTGTCAACTTTGGTCCGGGACAATGTGGGTGTCAAGGATGACTTCCAGGCATGAGCTCTCGATGGATGATGAGGCTGTTTACTGAGACGGGAAGAGCATAAAGTTTTGGGGTCGGAGGGTAAAGATCATGAGTTTAATTTTGTACATGTTAAGACTGAGATACCAGGCAAGTATCTAATTAAAGATGTCTAATAGTGTCTGGAGTCTAGAGGAAGTGTCGGGGTTAAAAATAAAGATTCGGGATGTGTCTGCATATAGGTGCAAGTGGGTATAATTTGGGGATGCCATTGGGTGTGGAGAATTGTTAGTAGTGAGAGGCACTTTGACCCCCCACTTTCATCACCCCGTCATCACAAACATGTCATTCTTTGCAAAATGTTTGGGTGACACTGGGTTAGAATCTAGTGACTGTCAAACTTTAACAGTCGCTGAATCAAGATCTGCGATCTGTTCAGACACTCCTGGTAATTTCTCATAAAAGTGGTTCTCAAGTCACATTTTGTGAAACATTGTGTTTAGTCATGCTGCGATACCATGCTTCTTGGTTTGCACCATTGTGAATCTTCTAGCTCCTAACAGAAAAAAACAAAACAAAACAAAAAAAAACCCCTAGTTTCACAACTCTTAAATGTTACTTAATGTAAAATTCTCAAAATAAAACTAAATTCATAGACCTTAATTAAAAGGTAGTATGTTCCTCACCCCCTTCTTTGTGTGGTGCTGAATGGGGGAGTGAGGCAGCTAAATCAAACAATAAGAGGCATAATCACTCAAAAATATTATGGATCATGGATATAAATCATCAGAATCATGATAAAGCATATATATAGAAAACACCTCTTTATTCACCTCTTACTGTATTCATTCTCTGGGCATTATCAAATGAATGGACTCTGAAATTTACTGTGTATTATTTGGGAATGATACATCATTTTGTATTACTGGTACTTCTTTGCTTCGTTAGCATGGATAATAAAGAATCAATCCAGGAGATGATTGCTTCTCCAATCCAAGGCTAGTTCACATCATCAAATGCCATGTGTCAACAAAAAGTGGCCTGGGTCTTGAGGTCACAACACTTTGTAGTAATAGTAGTGGTGGGTGTTCCAGTCATGTGGTCTAGTGTCCTCTCATCATTTCAGAAGTCACCCCAAGATGAGCTGGCAGCAAGACTCAGGAAGAAGATGTTGCTCCAGGGGCTGGTTAGTTATTTCTCTGGAGCCCTTTGCCATTGCTACAGTGGCATTGTTGCTAAGCCCTCAAACTATAAAGCAGCAAAGTAAAGGGAAAGCCCCATTGGACAGCTTCAGACTAAAAAGTGCTGTGATTACATCATCCAGCGCTCAGATTTCTTCCCTACAATTATCCATCCCCGAAGGTCATTTTATTGCACACTCCCTCCAGGGTATCTTTTGGATTGAAATAAGCATCTATTTAGCTTGGGCTTGTGGGTTATAGTCTGCCTCTTTGTGACAGTAAATTAAGGTGATTAATTTGGGGGGGTTTCTGGAAATAATAGAGTGAAGGCAACATCATGTCCTAGTTATTGGATCTTTTAATTAATAATCCACAGAGGATAATCAAAGTGAAAAGGAAGTAAATTATTAAATGAAATAAACAATTATGGTTTGTTCTTTGTGCTAACAGTGCCTTTCAAACTGGGAGGTTTGTCTAGAAGCGTGTTCGACATGCTTCAGGTCCCTTTGACATTCTGTGTTTCAGGTAATTCACAGGACTGTTTGTATTCCAAGAGTGAGAAGATGCTGGGATCCAGGGACCTGGGGGCCAGAGTTATCATCCAGTCCTTCCCAGAGGAGCCCAGCTGGGTCCAGCTGAAGGGAGTACAATTCCGGGACTTGGGGCAAGCCTTCCAGAAGCATCTGAGCTCGTTGACTCTGGTGGGAGCTCTGAGAGGTAAGGGGGCCAGGCCTATGACTTCTCATTTTTCTTTCCTTTCTTCTCCCACATTCAAGGCACACATGCAGGTGACTGTAGTGTGGGATATGAGAGATTCAGGGATGGATAATTGTTTATTTTAAAGATGTTTATACTATAGTTCAGTTGTTCTGAAACTACAAGTTACCAGTTGCCTTTGAGTCAGCTCCAACTCACGGCAACCCCATTTGTGTCAGAGTAGAACTGTGCTTCATAGGGTTTTCAGTGGCTGATTTTTCAGAAGTATATTGCCGGGTCTTTCTTCCAAGGCACCTTTGGGTAAATTCAAACCTCCAGCCTTTTGGTTAGCAGCCAAACTCACTAACTGTTTGTACCACCCAGAGACTTCTATCCAATAGTGTTATTGTTGTTCTTAGGTTCCAACTGGTAGCAACCGTATGTACAACAGTACGAAACACTGCCCGGTCCTGCACCATCCTCACAATTGTTGCTATATTTTAGCCCATTGTTGCAGCTACTGTGTCAGTCCATCTCTTTGAGGGTCTTCCTCTTTTTTGCTGACCCTCTGCTTTACCAAACATGAGGTCCTTCTCCAGGGATTAGTTCCTCCTGATAACATGTCCAAAGTATGTGAGAAGTCTCACCATCCTCGCTTCTAAGGAGCATTCTGCTTTCTGGCTGTACTTCTTCCAAGACAGCTTTTTTTTTTTTTTTTCTTCTGGCAGTCCATAGTATATTCAATATTCTCAACTAACATCATGATTCAAATGCATCAATTCTTTTTTGGTCCTCCTTATTCATTGTCCAGCTTTTGCATGCATATGAGGTGATTGAAATTTCTGTGGCTTGGGTCAGGCTCACCTGAGTCCTCAAAGTGATATCGTTGTTTTTTTAAAAGACTTTAAAAAGGTCTTTTGCAGCCCAACGCAATACATCGTTTGATTTCTTGACTGCTGCGTCCATGGCCTTTGATTGTGGACCCAAGTGAAATGAAATCCTTGACAAGTTCAGTCTTTTCTCTGTTTATCATGATGTTGCTTATTGGTCCAGTTGTGGGGATTTTTGTTTTCTTTATATTGAGGTATAATTCATACTGAAGGCTGTGGTCTTTGATCTTTATCAGGAAGTGCTTCAAATCCTGTTCACTTTCAGCAAGCAAGGTGGTGTCATCTGCGTATTGCAGGTTGTTAATGAGTCTTCCTCCAATCCTGATGCCCTGTTCTTCATCTAGTCCAGCTTCTTGGATTATTTGCTCACTAAACAGATTGAATAGGTGTGGTGAAAGGATACAACCCTGACATACCTTTCCTGATTTTAAACTATGCAGTATCCCCTTGTTCTGTTTAAACAACTGCCTCTTGGCAATAGTGTGCCTAAAAGAATCACTTAGGGAGCTGTCTTAGTCATCTAGTGGGGCTGTAACAGAAATATCACAAGTGGATGGCTTTAACAAAGAGAAATTTATTTCTTCACAGTAAAGTAGGCTAAAAGTCCAAATTCAGGGCATCAGCTCCAGAGGAAGGCTTTCTCTCTCTGTGGGCCTTCTCATCAATTTTCCGCTAGACTAGGAGCTTCTCCGCACAGGACCCTGGGTCCAAAGGACATGCTCTGCTCCCGGCACTGCTTTCTTGGTAGTATGAGGTCCCCCGTCTCTCTACTGGCTTCTCTCTTTTATATCTCAAGAGGTTGCCTCAAGACACAATCCAATCTTGTAGATTGAGTCCTCCCTTACTAACCCAACTGCCACCCATCGTCCGTCATTAACATTACAGAGGCAGGATTCACAACATATAGGAAAATCACACAATACTGGGAATCATGGCCCAGCCAAATTGATACACACATTTTTTGGCGGACATAATTCAATCCATGACAGGAGCTTATTAACATTCAGAGTGATAGACCCTGCTCTGAAAAATTCTGGTCTAAGATGGGCCTAGAGATCTCAATTTTTAGCAAACAAACCTTCTGATTCTAAAGCAGGTAGTCCAGGGAGTACATTTTGAGAAACATCACTGTAGATACAGCCAAAGTGGAGTGAACCAGACAAACACAGTTTTTGAATCCTGCTGTTACCATTTACTAGCTCTGTGACTACAGGCAAGTTGACACTGGATAGTATAGATAATCAGTGCTATAGTAATCCAGGCCCAGCAGAAGCACTTCTGTATGAGTTTGTCGTAATTCAGAGGAATCTTCTGCCAGGGAAAATGGGGAATAATGAGCTGAGACCCAGATGCTTTTCCTGGGATCCTGGAGCAGGTAGAGTATACAAATTGTGACCAGAGCTAAAGATGTGGGAAGGAAGCAGGAAACATCGGATCCAGGGGAGAACCAGAAGTAACCAAACCCATTGCTGTCAGGTCGATTCTGACTTATGGCGACCCCATGTGTTACAGAGTAGAACTGCTCCATAGGTTTTTTTTTTTTTTTTTTACAGAGGCCTTTCTTGCGCAGTGCTGCTGGGTGGGTTTGAATTGCCAACCTTTTGGTTAGCACATGAGCACAAACTGCGCCACCCAGGGACCTCGAGAGGAGTACCACTAGGTGAAAAACAAGATCAGAACCAGAAGGAAAAGCTATGATCAGCTGCAGTAGTAAAGGTTCTGAAACCAAAGTTGAAGGGAAGGGAGATCCAGGGTAAAAACCCAATACCAGAAGTTGATATGCAGACTCACAGAATTGGAGTACAGATACTGAGTAGTGGGGACAGCAGCTCCATTTGTGAATTACTCTCAGCCACCTCTAACATTCACACGTTCTAGCTTTGCTTCCCTTTTGTTGTTGTTGTTAGGTACTCTGTGGAGTCAATTTCGACTCATAGTGACCTCATGTGACAGAGTAGAACTGCCCCATGAGGTTTTCTTGGCTATAATCTTTACTGAAGCAGATCACCAGATCTTTGTCCTTCTGAGCCACTGGGTGGGTTTAAACCACCAACTTTTTAGTTAACAACTGACTGCTTAATTGTTTGTGCCACAGGGGATCCTTTAAGTGACGGTGTTGTTAGCTGCCATCAAGTCGGTTCCAACTCATAGCTACTCTGTGTACAACAGAACAAAACACTGCCTTGTCCTGTGCCATCCTCACAGTCGTTGAGCCCATTTGTTGCAGCCACTGTGTCTATCCATCTTGTCGACCTTCTACTTTACTAAGCATGATATCCTTCTCCAGGGACTGTTCCCTCCTGATAACATGTCCAAAGTATGTGAGACAAAGTCTTGCCATCCTAACTCCTAAGGAGCATTTTGACTGTATTTCTTCCAAGACAGATTTGTTTGTTCTTCTGGCAGTCCATGGTATGTTCAATATTCTTCACCAACACCATAGTTCAAAGACATCATCAATTCTTCTTCAGTCTTCCTCATTCATTGTCCAGCTTTCACATGAGTGTGAGGTGGTTGAAACTATCATGGCTTGGGTCAGGCTCACCTTAGTCTTTAGAGTGAGTCTTTTTCAGCAAATTTGCCCAATGTGACCCATCATTTGATTTCCTGGCCGCTGCTCCCATGGGCAAACCCTTTGCCATCGAGTTGATTCTGAGTCATAGTGACCCTATAGGACAGGGTAGAACTGCCCCATAGGGTTTCCAAGGAGCGGCTGGTGGATACAAACTGCTTTAATCGTGTATACAAGTAAAATGAAATCCTTGACAACTTCAGTCTTCTCTCTGTTTATCATGATGTTGCTTACTGGTTGAGTTTTGAGCATTTTTGTTTTAAGCTGAGGTGCAATCCATACTGAAAACTGTCTTTGATCTTCATCAGTAAGTGCTTCAAATCTTCTTCACTTTCTGCAAGCGAGCTTGTGTCATTTGCGTATTGCAGTTTGTTAATGAGCCTCCTCCAATCCTGATGCCTCGATCAGGGTTGAGGGTGGGCACTCACATATGAGTTATTGACTGGACATAAACGGAACTCTCCCTTGCTCAGAATTTTCATTTCATCCACTTCCCCCACCTCTGCTTCAACCAGAGTCGCTATACTTTTATCTATTTTTATCTATTTTAAGTGTTATGCAAAGAAAAATTTCAGTGCTTTATAAAAAAGATTGAAAACCAACCACTGAATTAATAACATTATCTCCTGTAGGTCTCTTTTGAAATGCAGACGTGTTTCCTGGCAGTGGTAACACGGTAACCCAGAGGTTAGAAACTTCTGACATGCTGGCCAAACAATCAGGCTCCTTTTGTTGTTTAGTGTCCTAAAGGCCCTCTTACCCTGTGTGGCCAATTGCCTCCAGCCACTAGAGTTAGAGGCACATGGGAATCTTTGCAAGCTACTTTTAAAGGCTTACCAATACCTGCACTTCTCCCATAAATAGCTATTAAGCACAACAGTACTCATGAGTTGTTCAGATGAGCAGGCACATTGTAAGAAACCAAAAAAACAAACCCATTGCCATCAAGTTGATTCCGACTCATAGTGACCCTGTATATTATCGTGGAGTTCTGGAGTCAGGAAAAGCCTGTAGCAGACAGTGTTTCCTGCAGAAGTGGATAGGGATGGGTTCTCTTATTGAGATGGATCCTTGGTTAGTAATGTAAGGGCAGGGGGTACTAGAGGACCTGAAATGGGGGAAATGTGGGGGCCCACTACCTATGAAGACCTTATAATTGAGAATTTTCTGGCTAGTCCCAACTTTAGAAGTTAAATTATTCCATAAAACAAATTAATTTTTCCAGTGTCCCCCAAATTTGACATTCATATAGTATCCCTTTCATTCTCTGGAAATAATACAAAACTCCTTTTTTCAGAGTTTAATTTAATTATCCAAATAATAATTTTTTATTGTGTTCATTTCTGTTTTCTCCATCAGACTGAAGATACACAAGTGTGGAATTCACTTATTTTGTTCATCTTTTTATCCCCAGCACAATGTGCACTGCCTTAAACATATAGTTGTTACTAAATAAATATTTATTCATTGACTGATCTAGACCTCATAAAATGATTTGGGAATCATAAATGTGCCTGTGGAGCTAGTGTAATTTTCCTAAATGTCAGTTCCTTTTGGCATAGTACAGGATTCTTCCTCTTTAGCTTATAAATCTACTATGATCAAATGTGAGAGTCAGTTTCCTCCTGTTAACCCCTGACTTTGCTTGCAGTGTGGAATCAGAATCTCTAGGTGTCTTGGGTCAGAAATATTGTTGCCTGACAAATTGTAAATATTAATTCATAACTCGAGAAATAATGACCGCATCTCCTCATTTCAAAGATCAGGGTTGGCCCATAAGCAGTACCCTTCATGCTGTTAAAATTCTCTCTAGCTGCTGTCTGCCATATTGTGATGAAAGGTGCTGCAAAAGATGGTGGCCAATAGTAAATCTTGATAGCTATACGCTCTTTTATAGTTTGGCCATATTCTCTCTTTCTCAGATAGTTTTCTTTTTTAACATTTGACCCGTGGACTTCACTTTGCTTAACTCAATGGTATCTTTGAGACCCACTGATTTTCTTGACTTGATTGGATTGTTGCTTCTAGCTTTTCCCCAATCTTGTTATGGTGTGAGGGATGCTTTTAGCTGTAGTATACCTTGCTTTAGATCTGATCAACAAAACCTAAGGAATCTTTGCGATCCACTCTTATAAGATCCCTAACCAAACCAAACCTAACCCACTGCCATCAAGTCTATTCCTACTCATAGTGACCCTACAGGACAGAGTAGAACTGCCCCATAGGGTTTCCAAGGCTGTAAATCATTACAGAAGCAGACTGCTACATCTTTCTCTGGCAGAGCTGCTGGTGAGTTCGAACTGCCAACTGTTTGGTTAGCAGCTGGGCACTTTACAAACTTGCTACCAGGGCTCCCTATAAGGTCCCTAGGTGGCATAAGTGGTTTATGCTTGACTGCTAACCTAAAAGGTTGATGGTTTGAACCCATCCAGTGGTACAAAGGAAGAAAGGCCTAGCAATCTGCTTTGGTAAAGATTATAACTGAGAAAACCCTATTGACCAAAGGACTAACAGACCACATGAAGCACAGGCTTTACCAGCCTAAGCCCAGAACAATAAGATGATGCCCAGCTACCACCACCAACCACTCTGACAGGGATCACAATAGAGGGTCCTAGACAGAGCAGGAGAAAAATGTAGAACAAAATTCAAAATCACAAGAAAAGACCAGACTTACTGATCTGACAGAGACTAGAGGAACCCCTGACACTATGGCCCCTGGATACCCTGCTAACTCAGAATTGAAGCCACTTCCGAGTCCACTTTTCAGCCAAAGATTAAATAGGCCTATAAAATAAAGAGTACACACGTGAGGAACGTACTTCTTAGTTCAATCAAGTATACGAGACCAAATGGACAACACTTGCCCAAAAGTAAAGCTGAGATGGCAGGAAGAAACAGACTGGACGAATGGACATGGAAAACCGAAGGTGGAACGAGAGAGAGTGCTGACACATTGTGGGGATTGCAACCAATGTCACAAAACAATTTGTATATAAATTTTTGAATGAAAAACTAACTTGCATTGTAAAATTTTCACCAAAAACACAGTAAAATTAAAAAGAAAACCCTACTGAGCACAATTCTACTCTGACACACATGGGACTGCCATGAGTCGGAATCGACTCAATGGCAATGGGTATTAGCAGTAATGTAATTCTTACCTTACCGTTTCCTATGCAGATTCCTACATCCAGGGCTGCTCAGTGTGGAACTCCTTCAGCAGAGGCCTCAGCATGTGCAGGACCTTGGGCCTGAAAGTGGACAGTAATGTGTTCTACAATATTTTAGGCCATGCGCTACTGGTGGGTGAGTAGAATGAACTCATTTAATTTTGTTATTCTTTAGTAGGACACATAGTTTTTCAAAAGGAATTAGCCTGAAATTTTGAATTCCCTATTTATAAAAACTTGGCCTCTGATCATTGGAAATAGGCTATAGCTCAAAATTCTAAATTTAAATTTAGTTGTCACTATTGGCTTACTAAACTTTACCAGTAGGAAACTGATCTTTTAAAGGTCATGTTTTAGTTCAGGTTAATAAATACATAACAGGTAGGTTTTAAATTTACTGCCAGCAATTTTCACAATAAATTAAAAGTCACATAAGTCTGTCTTTTATAGTCTCATAGAGTATCAAACCTGGATGTTAGTCAAGCATTTAAAAATCTTGAATTTTGTTCTTAACTGCTCTAGTAGTTTGCTGAAGACGTCCATGTTTCAGAATCTCCTAACTGGTACCGTGTGTCTAATCTTGCCTCCTACAGTTTATTCCCTATAAAAAAAACAAAAAACTAACATTTTCCTTAAAAATCTGAAATCCCATCATCTCTTTCCTCTCCTTAGAATGCTTTAAGAGTTTCTTTTTTTGAGGATGACAATGACATATATTTACAATACAGTTTTCAGATCCTTTTCAAAATGATCATTTGATTTAATCCTCAGGACATCCTGTGAATTAGTTAGTTTAATCCTCACTTATTTGTTTATTTTTATTGTACTTTAGATGAAGGTTTACAGAACAAACTAGCTTCTCATTAAACAGTTAGTACATATATTGTTTTATGATATCGGTAAACAACCTCATGACATGTCAATACTCTCCCTTCTCAACCTTGGGTTCCCTATTTCCAGCTTTCCTGTCCTCTCCTGCCTTCTGTCCTGGGCTCGTGTACCCCTTTGTCTCATTTTTTCCTATGTGCCTGTCTAATCTTTGGCTAAAAGGTGACTCTCAGGAGTGACTTCATTACTGAGCTAAAAGGGTGTCTGGGAGCCATACTCTTGGGGTTTCTCCAGTCTCTGTCAGGCCAGTAAGTCTGGTCTTTTTTTGAGTTAGAATTTTGTTCTACATTTTTCTCTAGCTCTGTCTGGGACCCTCTGTTGTGATGCCTGTCAGAGCAGTTGGTGGCAGCCAGGCACCATCCGGTTATACTGGACTCAGTCTGGTGGAAGCCATGGTAGTTGTGGTCTATTAGTACTTTGGACTAATCTTTCCCTTGTGTCTTTGATTTTCTTCATTTTCCCTTGCTCCTGAAGGGGTGAGACCAATGGAATATCTTCGATGGCCGCTCACAGACTTTTAAGACCCCAGATGCTACTCACCAAAATAGAATGTAGAACATTTTCCTTATAAACCATGTTGTACCAGTTGAGCTGGGTGTTCCCTGAGACCATGGTCCCCACAGCCCTCAGCTCAGTAATTCGGTCCCTCAGGGAGTTTGGATTTGTCCATGGAGCTTCCATGACCTAACCCTGAACAAGTTGTTCTGGCTTCCCCAGTATTGTGTACTGTCTTACCTTTCACCAAAGTTACCACTTATCTATTATTTATTTAGTGTTTTTCCACCCCCATGCCTCCCCTTCCTTATAACCATCAAAGGTGGTTTCTTTTTGTATGTAAACCTTTTCATGAGTTTTTTATAGCAGTGGTCTCGTACTTCATTTATCCTTTTGTGATTGACTTATTTCAGTCAGCATAATGCCCTCCAGATTCACTCATGTTGTGAGATGCATTGCAGATTCATCATTGCTCTTTATCTTTGCGTAGTACTCCGTTGTGTGTATGTACCATAGTTTGTTTATCCATTTATCTGTTGATGGGCATTTGTTTCCATCGTTTTGCTATTGTGAATAATGCAGCAGTGAACATGGGTGTGCATATGTCTA